AAGCAGAAAATACATGCAGAAACATAAAACAACATTAAAATAATAGCAAACAGTGTGGACATGATCAAATAAAAGCAAGAGTGACGAAATAGGTCTTAAGGTGTGTTTTAAAGTGATCAACAGAGGTTGCCTGTCTTATGTAAACTGGGAGTTTGTTCCATGCTGTCAGCCCATAGAAGCAGAATGCTGCTTCTCCATGTTTTTTATACGCCATTTTAGGTACTTCAAGCAAGTCAGCACTGGATGACCTGAGGGAGCGGTTTTGTAAAGGTGGAAGAAGTTGTGAAATTATTTATCTTGATTTAATTTTTTTACATGACAAAAACCTGGCAGTTGAACAGGGGTGTGTAGACTTTTTATATCCACTGTATATAAACATATTATATATGGCAATGTACACTTGATTTATTTTACTTTGATTTTATTTGTATAAGAAGTCTCCTTCACATCTCAAACCATCAGAACCACTGTACTGTACTTAACAAACACGCACTTTACCAACACACACTCTGCACCAACACACACACATTATCAAGATTAAATCTGAAGCTTCAAACCTCCAATAAACACTTACTGCACTCTGCACACGCACGCTCCGCACACATACATGAACCCAACACACGCACGCTCGCAAGTATGTACTTTCTCCTTAATCACAGCAGGACTCAGAGCAAGCATGGACCAGAACCAGAACTTTTTCACCGACCTCAGTGGCCTCAGCTTCTCCCGATCCTGAAACCCAAGAGTCAATCCCTGTTCAAGTCCAGGATCCAAAGAACGGTACCGGTCCAAAAGTGTCCACAGAAGGTCCATTTAGGTCCACAAAGAGAAGTGAGACAGGTTCTCCTCCTGGAACCTGTTGCTGGTCTCAGCTGTCCTGGTTCAGCAGGCTCAATGAATCAGGACCAGAACCGGCACCATTAGTCCGTTCTTCCGAGTACTGTTACTGGTACCGCGAGTGGCAGGTCTTTATTTCCAGCGAACTGAACTTCCAAACTTGAATTGAGTCCAGTCCAGTCCAGTCCACACGTTTCTCTGTTGAACCAGTCTGCAGGCTAATCCAGATGACCCAGCGGAGTTCTGAGCGGGTCGGTACCGGTGGATCAGAACATTTTCCGTCCTTGTTCATGGTAAAATTTGGTAAAATCCTGTTTAGTCTGGGTAATTTGGCGGATTAACGAGTTCATTAAACTTCGGTTATGGTAATACTGTTCATAAACTTTTAAAAAATAACTGGTTAGTTAAGTTTTTATTGTAAACAGTTGTGATCTTTTAATCACAGAACAGCTGGTTGGTCACCTTTTCCTGCAACTATCAGTAAAAGTAGACACACAAAAACTCTAAATTTATATTTTAAAAACAGCTTATTCATTTTCTGCTGTGGGTTAAATATTGACCAAAACCACAATAAAAAGGACTAAATCAATTAAAATAAAACATGATGTGGAACAAAAGGTTACAATACAAATATGATCCAGTAGAAAATTATAGCCTACTATGAGATTCCATACAATAAGGTATGATACAGTTGTATATGAAATGAAACAATAAAGTAGAATGAGATATGATTCACAAGATTTCCATATTTAATGTGTATAGACCAGATATTTAATTTTTTACCAATACTTGTTTTCAGTGCAAACTTCCGGCAGTCTTTCTTGATGAAGAGTCACGTGATGAGGACAGGTAGAAGAAAAGGAAAACGACAAAATACACGACACGTGCTGTAAAATAGATCATGATATCTCATAGAATATAACAGAACAATAAAGAATCCTGAATTATATCAAATAGTATGGCAACATATGATATATGACAGTGGTTCTCAACTGGTGGTTCCCGTTCTGGATGGGTCATGAACAGCTGGTCAAAAGAGTAATATTTAATGCGATATTTATTAGATATTTGATATTTTCTGTACATGCAACTTCAGTAGATGTCGTCCTCATGTTCTTCCCTTCATGTGCTCTGAAATGCACTTTACTTAATAAAACAAGTGGATTTTCGTTAAAGATTAGAGTCTTTAAAGTTTGTTTGTTTTTTTTTTTAAATAAGAAAAAATAAATTTGCTCGGTTTAAATTCTATAAAAGTCGGTCGCAAATTAAGGACCATGGGAGAATGTGGGTCCCAGAGTGAAACCAGTTGAGAACCACTGATATATGATTCTTCTCAAAGCTCCATAATAATACGTGTAATTATCATTTTAAAAAAATTGTATGTTCTGTCCGTTTGTCCATGTCTTGACTCAGCAGCCAGCTAAAAATATAAAGTGAACAGGTGGTTATGCATTTTCAAAAGTTCATTTCCCTCCATGATTTTAAGCTTTAACAGTCGTGTTAGTCTTACGTTTGCAGAAGAATAGTAGAAAACACATGAGAAAAGCTGAGTATCGGTTTAGTCTGAGTGTATCTGCCGTCTGTAGACAGTCTGGTTCATGTTTAGATTTATCTGCAGTCACACTTCCATGTTTGTTTCTGCTCTGGTCTTTATCAGACACTTCACCATCTCTGACTCCTCACTCTCATGTCTGACCTGCTGCTGCTGCTGTTTCTACACAAGCACTGATTCATGGGAGATTTCTCCACCTTTAATTTTTTTAATCGTATCACAGAGAGATGATAAAGCTCTGCTCTGATACAGGATATGAGAACACCAACAGTCCAACAGCACCACCCTGTGGTCACCTGCAGAACTGCTCTGACATCTCCACCTCTCCTCTACCTGCAGATTAAACCTAAAACTTTACAAGAGGGACTATTTATGTTTTCATTTTGTATCTCAGATGGTTTCAAAACATTTTTACATTTTTATTTCTTATTTTTATTTGCAATATTTAATAATGAAAAGTATAAAACAGTTGAGGGTCTCCTTGGTCCTGCCAGTCGGACCCTCTACTCCTTAAAACTGAGGACGCAGCATCTATGATTTCCAATTCTTCTTTGTTGAAAGGACAACTGGACTTATTTAAGTCCAGTTGTCCTTTCCATGCGGTGATTTCCACTCCAGAGTTCTGTTTTTAAAGCCCTGAAGATCAGGACCATCCGGTCCCGGTTTTGGTCCTTCTCCACTCATTCTTTCACACTCAGGAACTTTATTCTGAAACTGTTCAACTGTTATCTCATGCAGTCTCTCACAGAGTGATGAAAAAGAGTTGATCAGCCCAGCAGATCCACAACCGTGACAGATCTCCAACCCTCTTTGTGCCCCCGCTGGACGGAGTAGGTCATTGCATGACAGATCTACAACCTGAAACACGTGACCGCCCCTTCTTGAAAGTTATCGGCTCGAACGGAGCGACGTCATGATCGAGTATTAAATGTAAATCTCACAACTTTTAGTAATTAATAAAACTTTTGTCTTGAATTTGAAATAAATGTCAACGTGACAGGCTCCGTTTCTGACATTTTTCCCTTTCCATTTTCCATGTTAGTCTGAAATGCACATCGAAACCTCGGTCAAGCTAATGCTAACATTAGCTTGTCGGAAGTCGGAAATGTACAATTTGACCCGTAGGCAACTAGTATTGTAGTGAATAAAACAGAAGTGCGATGACTTATAATGTGCATGAGATTGCACGTGAAAATATACGAGAAAAACACACAAAATATCAGATTCATCCGGCTCTGCAGACACATACTATTGCATTCGGGGAGTCAAAATCATTGCCAAGGAATGAATAGTATAAAAGTAAGGCCAATCTCTAAGATATTGGGATAATATTTTGGTAGAATGAACCCGAATGAACCCAAAATGTTATAGGTTGGCAGACAATACATAAAAAGGTGATAAGAAAAAAATTGTGAAATTAATAAAATCTAGATTAGTAACTTAACATGTGACTGTGGGCACTTGTTTATTGCATTGCGTTTTCTTCCACTTATCCGGGACACGGGGGCAGCAGCTTCAGGAGAGAAGCCCAGACGGCCCTCACCCCAGCCACTTCCACCAGCTCCTCCGGGGGGATTCCTAGGCGCTCCCAGGCCAGGCGAGAGATATAATCCCTCCACCTGGTCCTGGGCCACAAGGTGCCCTCTCGGTGGGACATGTCTGGAACACCTCTAACGGGAGGTGTCCAGAAGGCATCCTAACCAGATGCCCGAGCCACCTCAGCTGACCCCACTCAACGTGGAGGAGTAGCGGTTCTACTCTGAGCGCCTCCCGAGTGTCCGAGCTCCTTACCCTATCTCTAAGGCTAAGCCCGGCCACCCTGCGAAGGAAACCCATTTCGGCCGCTTGTATCTGCGATCTTGTTCTTTCAGCCATTACCCAAAGTTCATGACCATAGGTGAGGATCGGCACGTAGATTGGCCAGTAAATCAAGAGTCTCGCCTTATGGCTCAGCTCTTTCTTCACCACGACTGATCGATTAAGTGTCCACATCAGTGCTGACGCCACTCCGATCCGCCTGTCGATCCCCTGCTCCATCCTACCCTCACTCGTGAACAAGATCCCAAGAAACTTGAACTCCTCCACTTGAGGCAGGACCTCCCCTCCAACCCAGAGAAGGCAATCTACCTTTTTCCGACTAAGGACCATGGCCTTGGACTTGGAGGTGCTAATTCGCATCCCAGCCGCCCCAGCAAGAGCTGAAGGTCACTGCTCGACAAAGCTAGAAGAACCACATCATCTGCAAAAAGCAGCAACACGATCCTCTGCCGACCGAACTGGACACCCTCCACCCCCCAGCTGTGCCTAGAAATTCTGTCCATAAAGGTTATGAACAGAACCGGTGACAAAGGGCGTATCCTTGAAAGGAAGTGGGACGAGTTCCAAAAACTAAACACTTATTTTGATTAGATAATAATATGTGACTGCGGTCACTTGCTTATTAATTAACTTGTTTATTAAATCTAATTATTGGGCACAAAAACGGATATGGAACAGCGGTTAAAAAGAGGGTTGTAGATCTGTCACAGTTGTTGATCTGCTTGGCTCCCCAGCTCTGCAGACATGTACTATTGAGTGAAGGTGGATTTCATTAGATTTACGAAATAAAAGAGTGGTGAAATAATGAGAGACAGCAGCTTTTATTTGAAGGGATAGTCGAGGCACCAACAGGTAACATTTAGAGTTAATGCATGCAGGCAGATATCAAGTCAACATGCACACACTGTTTAAAGAAAATACATCATCTAAGGACATTTACAGGCTGATCTGTTCAGAGAGACGATCATCTAAAGACAAAAAACCTTAAACGAGAGTTTAAACTTCAGCACTAGAGGAAAACAAGGTGTTTTAATCTATACAGAAACAAAGGGACATCTCCCTCAAACTACACAGCTCCATCACCTCTTAAATACTCAGATTCATTCTAGTTTAGTCTTGGTCTATTACAGACATGGCTTCTCTAAGTGTATCAAAGCTCTCAATGTTGAATGTAAAACCTTATGTGGTGCAGAAAGGCCTTATTGTTCCTCATGGCAGTACACGACAGTCTGTCAGAGCCTCACAGTCTCTCGGTGTATGGGGAGTCAGGGCAGAGGCAGGACGAGTGCGCTGAGGGCCAAATGAAGACATTTACAGGAGCACACACACACACCTGTCACCAAACTCCGAGTCCGCTCAGGTGATACCTCTTCATTAGCTGTGGAGTGTTCAGACTGATAAATGCTGCCGGGTGAAGCTCTAACTTCAGGTCAGGTGTTTGTTTTTGGAGTTAAATGCACTGAGGGCTGAAGAGATTTGTTCTTCTTAAGGCTGATATGCTCAATATGTACAGGAATAATATCTGACACAAATCTAAAGAAAAATATCTCAAAATATAGATAAATATAAATCATTTACGCTCTTAACGGGTGACTTTACAACCCTGAACATCTGTTTTTTTTATATAACAGCTGTTATTTCAATGAGCTGCAGTGACGTACAGATGTACAGGAGGACGCTGAGAAGAGTCAAGACCAACATGAATAAGAGAAACTAAAATAAAACCAGACGGTTCCCCTAAAGACACACCTCAACAGATCAGGTATCCTGTTAGTTTCCTTACAAACTATAAACTGTTTTTATCTGGGGTCTGGTATATGTGATAAACCTGGGTCTCAGTTTTACTTTTTTTGTTTTTGCTTGGTCCAAGTTTCACTTTTTGTATCTCTGCCAAGTCTCAGATTAACAATTTTTGTCTCTGCTGAGTCTCAGTTTTTTTACTTCTAGGTGTGTCTTAGTTTACTATGTTTTTGCTGGGTCTCAGTTTCACCATTTGCATCTCTGCTGAGTCCAAGTTTCACTGTTTTACTCCGACCTGGGTCTCAATTTTACTAGTAATGTCACTGCTGAGTCCAAGTTTCGCTGTTTTACTCTGACCTGGGTCTCAGTTTTAATGGAAATGTCACTGCTGAGTCCAAGTTTCACAGCCTGTGTCTATGTTGGGTCTCACTTTCTCTGTTTTTATCACTTGGTCCAAGTTTCACTGTGTGCATATTTACAGGCTTGGTTTTACTGTTTGTGTCTCTACAGTCTCAGTTTAACTGTTTCTGTCACCACAGGGTCAAGGTTTCACTGTTTGACTCCCCGGTCGGTCCCAGTTGCACCTTTTCAATATTCTCAGATTTACAGTTTTTGTCTCTGCTGAGTCTCAGTTTTTTACTTTGAGCTGTCTTATAGTTTTACTGTGTTTTTGTTGGGCGTCAGTTTCACTGTTTGCTTCTCTGCTGAGTCCAAGTTTCACTGTAACATCACCACAGGGTCTCAGTTTCACTGTGTGCATAATCATGGGCTTAGTTTGATTGTTTATGCTCCTGTTAATTCTCAGCTTTACTGTTACAGTTCATGTCTCTGTCAGTCACAGTTTTACTTTTTGTGACTATACAGTCTCAGTTTAACTGTTTGTGTCATCACATGGTCAAAGTTTCACTGTTTGACTCTCTGGTTGGTCTCAGTTTCACTATTTGCATCACTGCTAAGTCTCAGATTTACAGTTTTTGTCTCTGCTGAGTCTCAGTTTTTTAACTTCTAGCTGTGTTTTAGTTTTACTGTGCTTCTGCTGAGTCCAAGTTTCACTGTTGAATCACCACAGGGTCTCAGTTTCACTGTGTGCATATTTATGGTCTTGGTTTGACTGTGGGTGTCTCTGCTAAGTCTCAGTTTCAGTTTTTATATCTTTGCTGGGTCTCAATTTCACTGTTTATATCACCACTTGGTCTCAGTTTCACCATTTGCATCTTTGCTAAGTCTCAGATTCACAGGTTCACTTCTTGCTTGGCCTCAGTTTCACTGTTTTTATATCTTTGCTGGGTCTCAGTTTCACTGTGTGCATATTTATGGGCTTGGTTTGACTATTGGTGTCTCTGCTAAGTCTCAGTTTCACTGTTTTTATATCTTTGCTGGGTCTCAATTTCTCTGTTTATTACCTACTAAATGGTCTCAGTTTCACTGTGTGCATATTTATGGGCTTGGTGTGACTATTGGTGTCCCTGCTAAGTCTCATTTTTACTGTTTTTCTTTCTTTGCTGGGTCTCAATTTCACTGTGTATATTACCAAATGGTCTCAGTTTCACTGTGTTCATATTTATGGGCTTGGTGTGAAGATTGGTGTCCCTGCTTAGTCTAATTTTTACTGTTTTTCTTTCTTTGCTGGGTCTCAATTTCATTGTTTATATCACCAAATGGTCTCAGTTTCAACATCTGGATCTTTGCTCATATTCACTGTTCAACTCTGATCTGGGTCTCAGGTCTTACTGGTACTGTCACTGCTGAGTCCCAATTTTACTGTCTGTGTCTCTGTTGGGTCTCAGACTCACATTCAAATCTGCTGAATAATGTCTCGTTAGCGCTTTAGAGCTAAAATAAACACTGTGGTTTAATGGCTGGAAAAACTTCACCAGATTTGTAAATTTGTAAAACGTTCAAATTCAGGATTTGTCAGGTCAGTCTGTAAAGATGAAGGGGATTCAGCTGTAAAAGGGGTTCTTAAGTCTCTAGTTTGTGTGTTTTTGACACATCAGGAGGATCTCTGGGGGGATTTTAGGACACATGATTGTACAAGTTTGAAAAAAAATAAAACCAATCTGACGTTTAGACCCCAGCAGAGACAGGTGTGTAAATAATTGTGTCTATGAATCCACTTTAGTTTTAAAAGCACTGTGTAAAGTTGTTCTCACTTTTTTCAGTGTATCATCTAAACATGAACTTAATCCTTCACTGTTACGAACTTAATCTCTAAATAAAAAGGCTGATTTTTTCTTCATCTGAGAATTGGAGATTAAAGTATAAATGCTTTATTGACTGTTTGGGGTGTTTTTGCTCATCAGGCAGGTCTGAAAACCTGACTGTGGAAGTTCTTTGGGACTTTCTGTTGTGTCTCTGTTAACATCCATAAAAGACACACACACATACTTTTTATCTCCTCCATTTACACTCTCCACATTCACTCTGTAAACTTTACTCCAGCACTTCCCTCCTTGTGTTTCTGTTTTTTTTAAAGCAGGAATGGTGCGTTCAAGGCCACATGAAAGTCACAAGTTTGAAACGGTCACAGCATCACGTCACGTTACTGTACGTACACGGTGAGAGTTCACTGATGGAGGCAGCAGGGTGCAGGAGGAGGAGGCGGTGTACTGAGAGGATGACGGGCGTGTGGGTTTAACGTTTGGCCTCTCGGGGGTAAAACTCTGCCAGAGTGCTCTGAGGAATCCTCTTCAGCATCTCTTTGGGGAATATCCTCATCAGCTGCCATCCGATGTCCAGAGTCTCAAATACACTCCTGTTCTCATAGGCACCTGCACACACAAGAGGGTCCTTTAAATTAAAGTTAGGGTCATATTAAAAGGATATTCCGGCGTAAAATTGATTTAGGGTCAAACACACCATAACACCGAGTTAGACACCCCCTCCAGAGATGAATATTGCCGACCGCTTGCTCCTCTAGTTATAACAACTTTAGTAACGACCGCAGGATAGCAATACACAGCGGTCTGAGGAGCCATAAACAAACCCTAACCAAAATGCCACTCTATAGCCACAAATAATGCTCAGAACAGCACCTAACTTCATCAACAGTACATATAGGGTCCCAGCCATAGTACTAGCCACCAAACATCTTTTTAACTTTGACTAATTTCTTTAGCAAAGAGACTAAACACAACTCACCTACTCTCTTCTAGCCACCCCTTGTTTGTAGCGAGACCTCAGGCCAGTCCATTACGGACTTAAGCGGGGTGACGCAGCTCAAGGAAGAACATTTATGATCATTTCTTTATCATTTCCTTGAAGTAATAATCACCATATTAATCATTTTTCTCTGCAGACGCGGTAGTTCCTCTGCCTTAGCATCTCGGTCTGATTGTATTTCCATGAAGAAATGATCATGAATGTTCTTCCTTGAGCTGCGTCACCCCGCTTAAGTCCGTAATGGACTGGCCTGAGGTCTCGCTACAAACAAGCGGCGACTGGAAGAGAGTAGGTGAGTTGTGTTTAGTCTGTTTGCTAAAGAAATTAGTCAAAGTTATAAAGATGTTTGGTGGCTAGTACTGTGCCTGGGACCCTATATGTACTGTTGATGAAGTTAGGTGCTGTTCTGAACATTATTTGTGGCTACAGAGTGGCATTTTGGTTGAGCACGTGGCTCTCTGTATTGCTATCCTGTGCTCGTTACTGAAGTTGGTATAACTAGAGAAGCAAGTGGTCGGCAACATTCATCTCTGGAGGGGGTTTGGTTAACAGATCAAAAAAACTCCTTACTCATCGTATACCGGCGTCAGTGAACACTTTAATTCAGCCTCTGTCTGAAACGCTTTGTTTTGGCTACCTCTGGGGTGTTACTTTTTAGACAGCTGTGTAGCCCTGTAACAGCCCTGGTTGTTTCGACTGTTTTGAATTGTTTTATTTTTCCGTTTTATGTATTTCATTATCACTCTGTACCTTTTCAACTCCCCATTTATAAGTAAGCTGTTTTATTCCTGTTTCTTCCTCTCTGCTAACCCTTCACTACCTGTGATTTTAAAACTGTCCAGTATCTTTTTCCTCTCTCTCTCACTGTGCATATATATATTTATACAACAAAATATTTACTCATGAAAATTGTTCACTAATCTTGTTAAAAGTTTGTTTAAATAAAACTGTGAACATCTTTTTGGAGATCTGAGTGGTTATTTTTGCCCCAATGCACCTTGGGAGATGAAGTTTTTCTCAAACTTGGTGAGGAACTCCAGATAGAGAAGGTCATCAGCCGTCAGGGCCTCCTCCCCCACCACCGCCTTCATCGCCTGCACGTCCTTCCCGATGGCGTAGCACGCATACTACACACACAAACACACACACACACACACACACACACACACACACACACACACACACACACACACACACACACAGGTACTATAAAGGTGAGCATGTGCAGTAAGAAACAGGAAGTGTGTATGAACTCACGAGCTGGTTGGAGACATCAGAGTGGTCTCTGCGGGTCATCCCCTCGCCAATGGCGGACTTCATCAGACGAGAGAGAGACGGCAGCACGTTGATGGGGGGGTAGATCTACGCCACAGAAGAAGACAGGCGTTAAAACAAGATCCTCTGGGTCCTGGTCTACAAAATACAGAGTCAGCAGCTGCAGAACCTGGATTATAATTCTGACCTCATAGTGGACCCGGGCCTCTCTCTCAGACCTCAGAACAGGTTCTGGAGGACCCTCAGTACCTGTCTGTTGTGCAGCTGTCTGTCCACATAGATCTGTCCCTCTGTGATGTAGCCCGTCAGGTCCGGGATGGGATGAGTGATATCTGAGAGGAACAGGAACCGGAACCACACTGTCACTGCAGCGCTGTGTTAGCATTAGCATTAGCATTAGCCTGTGTGTGGGCGTGGGTACCGTCGTTGGGCATGGTGAGGATGGGGATCTGAGTGATGGAGCCATTTCGTCCCTCCACTCTGCCCGCTCTCTCGTAGATGGTCGCCAAGTCGGTGTACATGTAACCGGGGAAACCACGTCGTCCTGGAACTTCCTCTCTGGCTGCAGACACCTGAGTGTAGGCAAGTCAGTAAATAGACTGACAGCCTGGAGTTTCCTGTTATCATTTCAGAATAGAAGCACAGAAACGGGGGTGCTGACCTCTCGGAGAGCCTCGGCGTACGAGCTCATGTCAGTCAGGATGACCAGGACATGTTTCTCACACTGATAGGCCAGATACTCCGCTGATGTCAAAGCCAGACGAGGCGTGATGATTCGCTCGATGCTGCAACAAAAAAATAGGTTTAAAATTTGACCTGATACAAAATCATAAAGTCCTGAAGAAAACTGAGAAACGGCTGATCTACAGGGTCTGCTTGGTCCTGGTTTTAGGGTCATGATGCTCCGAATGTTTTCAAAGTCAAGACCACATCAGTCCAGGACTCTTCTCCTACAGAGCCATGCTGTTGTCAGGATGTGGTTCGTCACTGTCTGGATTTTGATCGCTCAGTCTTTGGCAGTTCTGGATTCCTGGTTCTATCTGGTTTCCTTGTTGCATGGTTCAGCGTGAACACTTCTTCAGTACCTAGTTCTTGCCTATTACAGGTGTGGTAGTCATGATCTGATGAAGTTCCTCAGCTCCCCCTCTCCCCTCCCTCTCTGCTTCAGCAAGCCCCGCCCACAAACAGATGCTCCTGCTCGCTCGTATTGTTCCAATTAAAATTCAGATATAATGCAGATAAATACTTCAGATAATTACAAAAGGGGCCCAGTCAAGTCGAAAGTCAAAAGCATTGGTGCTACTGTAAATGCCAACAGACTACCAGCAAACACAATGTTTGCAAGACTTCTACAACTGGCCTATGTCACTTTATCAGTGACATAGTCATCCACTAACATCCACTAACTACCTCACAGCACAGCAGAGTGACGGATCTGAAGCAGGCAGCTCAGGGACGCATGGAGGAGAGTGGTCCTCTTAAACAGTTAATAAACCAGTTTGTAAAATACACAATAAGTTGAAAACACTTTTCTGGTCTGACTTTGATCAGAGGATCAGTAGCAGTAGCCTACAGTATTTCTACAGTATATATGTATATTTAATAACTTCATTAAAAATTTTAAAAATCAGCCGAATAATTAGTAATCAGATTTTTTCCCCCACTAATAATCGGTATCAGGATCGGCCAAAAAAATTTATATTGGTCGGGACCTAGTTTCTACTGTCCGATATTGTAGCACGCTAACTTTGTTTGAGCTGGTTAACAACATGGGGGAGCAGCGTCTGCCTCACAACCAATCAGGCCAGGGAGGTGGAGAACGGCTTTGTTTATAGTCATAAAGAGCGGAGCACTCAAAATTGTGAAAATGTTGACTACATAGACATAAGAGAACACAGAGATATCGTTGAATTCCCAAATGTCATCAATAACTATTAACTATTGACTGATATTAAAAGCTTTTTTGTAAATACACCACAAAAAAAGAGGCTTCTTTAACAGATTTCTGCCTACCCCACCTTTAACCCAAATACACCAAATTTAAAATTATACTTAATTAGCACTGTCCTCTGAGATGATTAGTCTGTTTTCTGGAAAGGGTCTTGGATAGATTTCC